TCATGACAATATTGTCAACTTTGCCACCCGTCTTGGTAAAAAACTGGACCTAGTATTCATCAATGATGTTGGTATATATGAAGCTCGCAAACGTGCTCCTCTACTTAATTCTGACCACTGCATCATACGTGTACTGCCTAAAATATATTCCAAATCACACAAAGGTGTCCTCTCTCACCTCTACAGTAAAGTTCAACGGAGATGCTACTCAAAAGACAACCTAGACAAGCTCAGATGCATGTTGAAAGACACTAACTGGGACTTATTTACAGAACAAACATTAGATGAAACAATCACAAACACTACCGATTATCTTAAATTCTGTTTCGAAATATGTTGTCCTAAAGAAACATTATTCATTCGATTTGATCGCTTATCTTCGCCATATCTCAAAAAGCTACGTAGAAATAAAGAACTGTTGTTCAAAACTAATGATAAGCCTGGTGTAAAAAAGTTAAACATGCTGATAAAACTGGAAATAAAAAGACTAAGTGTTTTATATAATCAAAGATTTTTGTCATGTAAAACCCCTTCTAATTTATGGAAACTTTTCAAAGAAATTACTAACGGTAAGCGATGTATTTCTGTTCCATCTCTTAATGTTGACACTCTTAATAAATCTTTCATACGCTCTTCTGTTGATACCCTTCCAAATGATACAAATCATATTGACAATAACTTTAGTGGTTTTAATACCCTTGATGTGCTTAAATGTCTCCGGTCTCTTAAGCCTTCTCAAAGCCTTGGTCCTGACGGCATACCTGCCATTGTCCTCAGGAATTGTGCTGATATTTTGTGTTATCCTCTTACTAACATTTTTAATGCCTCTTTTTCCGGTAACGTTCTACCTTTTGCATGGAAAAACATTAAAATTATCCCTATACCAAAACCATCTTCTGGTTCTGATATTAAATTTCGGCCTATTGCAATTACTTCCCCCTTTTTAAAATTGATGGAAAAATTACTTTTACTTCGTCTTGAACCCGCTTTGAAACCTTTTAATGATCCTAAACAATTTGCATACAAACATGGTAGAAGTACCTTGGATGCTGCGGTTGTCTTATATCACAATGTTGTCTCTTGTTTAGACAAAGGTGCTAAATATGTTCGTAGTGCTTTCTTAGACTACACATCTGCTTTTGACTCTGTACCTAGGGGCCTTTTGTTAAATAAGCTATCGTTGACACAAACAGGATCCTGGGCTAAGAGTTGGTTGCATTCCTATTTTTCTGATAGAATGCAGTATACTGTATATAACGGCAAATCTTCTTCTACCTCGCTTACAAAATCCGGTGTTCCACAAGGTGCTGTCCTCTCTCCTTTTCTTTTTTCTTTCTTCCTACATGACCTGCCTCATTCAAACGAAACTAACTTTGTCAAATATGCAGATGATCTGACTGTATCACTGCCTATCACTTCCGAGTCTGACAGCTCCAAACTTAATAGCTTTCTGTTGGACATCAACAACTGGTCCAAGTCAAATGGTCTTATATTAAATCCTTCCAAATGTCAGGTGCTTGACTTTACTTTCAAGCATCGACGTGACTTACTTGAACTAGTTAACTCTCATGATCCCTGTAGCATAGATGGCACGGAAATTGAAACCAAATCAAGCATTAAATACCTTGGACTAGTTTTTTCCTCTGACCTTTCATGGTCATCCCATATCTTATCTATCTCTAAGAAAATGTTTCGTCTTACCTTCTACATTAAAAAGTTAAGACAATCAGGTATCAACCAACCTTTAGTTTTGCAATTTTTAAACTCCTGTATTTTACCTATTGTACTCTACTGCTCTCCATTAATCTTTCCTGGGCTGCTCAAAAAAGATTATATCATATTACGAAGAGTATTAAATGCTGTGAGTAGAGCTTGTGGTCTGCCACTGCATGAGCTCGCTAATACTATAGTCGAGAGGCATATAAATTCCTGTACGAAATGGGCAAAGGCTATAATGTCAGACCCTCTGCACCCCCTTTATTCACACCTGTCCCCTTGTATCTCATCAGGTAGGACGAGAAGTCAATATAAAAAGATATATGCTCGTACTACTAAGTATAGAAATTCTACAATACCCTATTTAGCGCGTACTTTATGTGACGAAGACTCTGTTAGACGTGAAACTTACAAGTTACTATGTAATTAGCACAGTGAATCGACCCTTTTATCGTTCATCTTTCTGTATTTTATGGTGTCACACTTTCTATCGTTTAAATCGTTACTCTGCTATTTTATTTTAGTTGGTATTACTATTATTACTACAATTTTGTACTTTATACATATTTTTCTCCGTATGGCATACAGTATTTTGCTACGTAGCTGCTATAACAATCGTTTTATTACTATTATGTAATGTGTATTTTTAATTTTTTTTGTCGTTTTTGAGTAAATTAGATGCAATATTGTACTGAATGCTGAAAATTCCTTGCTGTATCATTAGTACTGTTTTTGGAATAAAGCAAAAATTATTATTATTTTCTATAACTTTCAGTCGACAGAATATTAGAAGTGGGCTGGCTGACAAGGGGTTTACATAGTGTATGCGCAGAATAATGCCTACTACCTTGCTGTGCTGTCAGTTTAGAATTAGGGATTGGATGAAATTGGCTTTCCACTTGACACCAATTAGGCCTACCCCTAGGAGCTTCGTCTAACATACTTGACTTTCTCTTAGAAAGAAGGCCTAGAGGTGCTTTCGTCTCTTTCATATCAAAGGGCTTTCTTGCTCCGGGTCTAGTATTTAATTTATTTACTTCTTTTTCCCTTATCTTATGATCAACTGGCCGATGATGGCTAACAGGGCAGCCAGCACATGCTATGTAGGGTTTCTGTGGCTTGGACACCTCATGAGCTTTAATTTTCCTAATGGAAATGGGACGTTTTTCATAACGCCTAGAAAACTTGCCAACTTGGGTAGCTACATTCGACTGGTGCTTCACAGAGTGTGGATTGTCAGACTGAGGAGTAACTGACTTATAAGGCAATGGTTGGACCACCTAGTGGGATGGGTTTTGATGGTTTCGGTGTCTTGACTTTTGCGTCAGTGTGAAAACGACGTATTTCAACATTATTTCCCGTTGACTCATCTGTGTCCACCATTTCAGTGTCAGCATCAATATCGTTGTATAATACTTGGCTAACATTAGCCGGTGCCTGCGAATATGTCTGTTGCATGCCGTGATCAGATATTTCAATAGACGGAATAACGCACGGAACATCATCTACAGTTATCCTATTAGAGTTATCAGCGTTCACTGTTCTGGTAGGGATAGTCATTGGGATAAAAGTTTATATAGCAAGCGTTTGAAGGTTACAATAGAGTGACAGGTCCTATTTCTAAGGGTAAACTATTCCTGTATGTTCCGTACTAAGTCTTTTCATGCATCTATGCGACTAGTTTATCTATAGTTTTTAGATCGCTAAGGGTGTTGAAACGCGTCTTTTAGGTGCTGTAGTAGATTAGTAGTTGATTCGTTCTAGGAGTAAATAGTTTATTAATATAATCAGTAGAGTGAAACAGTCTGTATAGAGAGCGTTTGAAGCTTGTAACCGAGGAGCAAGTTCTGTCATCTAGAGGCAGGCTATTCCATATTTTAGAATACATGACTGTGAAGAAGTTTTCACGGAGTGTTGACTTAAAGGAATCAGTTGTCACTGTGCAAGTTTGGTTACGCAGATCGTAAGAACCTTCCTGTGCGAATTGTATGTCCCTGTTACCTGAGAATGATATTTTGTGAAGGACCTTAAAGAAGAATATTAGGTTTATAATAAGTCGCCTTGTCCAAAGTAGGTCAAGTTTTAGGATCATGCAGCGTGAGATATAGTCTTTCTTACAATCGTAGCCAAGTAGTTTTGAGGTAAAATATCGTTGGATACTTTCCATCCTTAGCTTATCACGTGTGCGAGTGCTGCTTATAATAAATGGACGGTGTTCTAGTAGTGGTCTGACACATGTTTTGTACAGAATTAGCTTGGCTTCATTGTCGTGAAAGTTTCTGAGTATGCATCCTAAGAGCATCCTCGATTTTCTTCGCTAATTAAGTCTTTTTCTTATGACTCAATATGGGAATTTTCCATCTCTCTCTCTCTATATATATATATATATATATAAACATCGTGTTAGAATGTAACTCCAAATTGGTTCCACATAAGTGATATGTATTATTATTATTATTCCCTAGAGTTCCTAGCGGAATATAGAGCTTCAACAGCTTATCTGCATTTTCTCCTGTTCTCGGTAGTCCTCTCTAGCTGAGTATATGATTGCCCATAAGCTTTCATATCCTCCACTATGTCACCCTTGAACGCCCAACTCGCTGTTTCCCACTCAAGTTGCACAGAGGCTATCATGTATGCTGTGTAACAATAAGAAAGTACTATTCATTCACTGAGGTTCAAAACACAATTCACTTCTTGTAATAATGCCGAAGACAACTGAACAACTTTCAGATCCAGTTTTAATAATTCATATTTTTTTTTAATTATCTGAAGTGTAGAAGAATTTTTCTAGACACCATATATATATATATATATATATATATATATATGGAATCACGTCTAACTGCTTACATTCAATCTCTTCCTTTATTTCAATCAGTTGACTTTCACAAATGTCAGTTTGTTTTATTCTATTGCGTATTTACAAAAGAATAAATGCGATTTTGTAGGTGAGCTTTTCTCTAAATATGCTTAGTAACTCTGGCACATAATTCAGTCTGCACTTTTCCAACAGCCCACTCGACACTCAGGTGACACCATATGCTAGGATCTCAAGTTGAACCCAAAGAGAAAGCGACAGCAAAAATAAAAGTGTCCGACGTCCCACTTGGAACTCAGTGAGTGAATGATAATAATATATGATAAAGACTTTCACAAAAAATCTACGGTTGCCTGCAGATCGCATATAAGTATAGAGCAGCAGTACACCGTCATACCTGGAGAATACACTCACAACTAAATTTACGCACTTGGCAATCATGAAAAAATCAAAGCGGTTCATTGATAACTGAATCATATTAAACTGTGAGATTTTATTCAACAATTACTTATGAGAATGCATAAATAATTAAAAATATTATAAATCATAGGTGGTCAGTGTTACTTAGATGAAACTGTTATATACAAAAAAAATTAAATAAATAAATAATAAACGACGATATAAGCACACCTACCTTTCATTAGCAAAAAAACGACTAATAGTTAAAGAAAGTTCATATTATGTCAGGAAATTAAACGATCAAAAACACGATGTTAATTAAAATACGATAACAATGAAAAGCAAATGAAATTAAAGAAAGCGAAAAAAATCTTAGAAATATGATATTAATTCCTCCAAGGTGTTCGGTTGGATATTGATTGAGATCTAGAGTTATTTGGAGTACATTTTTCACGCTTAGCAGAAGAATCGCGAGAACGGGAAGTGGTTGTGACGTCCGGAACTCTTGATGAAGAACCATCACGCCTTGCAGAAGGATTACGTGAATGTGATGCCGCTCTAGAATCTCTTAAAACTTGAGTAGGATTTGTTCTTTTCGTTGACAATGCTCTAAAATTTGAAACAGTTGCTGTCCGCGGTAATTTCGTTGTGGAATCATCACGACTTCTAGAGGATTCACGAGTTCGTGAAGCGGTTCGAAGAGTTGGGGCTTTTGGTATAATAGGACGAGGTGTAACAATTGCCTTCACTTGCTTAGATTTAGTTCCATTCACCATCGTTGATGACAACGGAGGAAGGTTTTCATTATTCGGGATACCATTATCTAAAGTACTACTAACCGTACTGGATTCACTTCTAGGACTTTCCACACTGCCATTACTGCTTCTATTGGACGACTGCCTCATTAGATTACTGACAGAATTTACACGAGGAATTGATGATGTATCAAAATCAGAATATCTACGAATTGGCTTAGTCACTTCAAGGCATGATTTGATATGGGGAACAGCTGATGTCTCTGTACAACATGGAGTTATACCACGCCTGCAAGGATCATGACGCTGTAAAAATTCATCTAATGTTAACCAGCCACCACCAACTCGAACCATTACATGATTTCGAAACCTGCGTAAATAATAAATTCGTGTACCTAGTCGATATCGACCTTCTTCTAAACGCTGCATATGTAATCGATTGCAGCACGTACATTGCGCCAACTTTTTATTAACCTAAAGCACAAGAAAATAATGAGGTAAATAAAAAACAGCTCAGTTTTTGAAAGGAAAAAATATGTTAAACAATAAGCATAACAATCATAAACGGAATTACGTATATACCTACACATGCAGTATCAATCCAACTAAAACAAACTCAACACGCTCCTTGTCGTCAATATCGAAAACCTGTTTAACAAGACAAGAAATAAAACCCAACCACATACTGTTGCGCACAAAGTACGGCTGAGAAATTCATAACCAAAATAGACGTCATATACCATATATATATTGACATCAACACATTACCCATGTAAAGATTTAACAGATATTTTAAAACTTACCTTCTAACGTTAAAATATTTTGCAGAGGGAACATCTCAAATTCAATTAACGAAAAATTAAAACAAGAAGCATACGTACAATCAACACTGAGCATACAAGAACACTTAAAACAAGACATATGATAAGCATACAATCCACAGATAACAAAGATGCGACATCAAGAAACATTGTAACGGCGGCAAGCAAAACTGTACACATCAAAGCAAACAGTATATTTTTTTTCGTTACCTGAATATCAATTATACATTCATCAGCTATTGAAGACATATCGATTGACAGATCTTCCGCACACCTTTCACTATATACCAAATAATCCATAAGTGACACGTTAAGTATAGTTGATGTATCTTGAATGCATACCTGTTGTTGAACTTCCTGTTTGACAAGCTTCGCTGATTCAACTTGTAGACTCTTTAAGCATGTATCTGGGATTTTTGAATCAACGAGATTCACGTAAATGACGGACTTTTCAGGTGGGTCAATTTCAGTTTTGACATCATTATAGCACACAGTTGCAGAGTTCATAAATGAAGATGATTCATCTACTTTCTTGGTAATCTTGAGAGGCGTAATCTCTACTATAGGTATTTGAAGACCTAAGTCGTTTATAAGAAGTGTTTGACGCCTTTTTCTGTTTGCAATATTACAAAATGGTGAGTCAGTCATCTTCAAATGATCAGTATGCTTGAATTAGACAATAATAAATCGTGTAAAGACAACAAGAAAAACGAAGACAGTACTATATTGTGAACCATATTATCAACATAAAACATGTGCATATACAATACAAAATGTGAAGATAATGTGCTGTTGAATATATATATATATATATATATATATATATATATATATTGGTTGAATGTGCAATACCCTGTCTTCCATAAATTAGGTCGCAAAAGCATCATATAAAAACCATTATGAAAAGTTTACACGCAGAACACTACGTTAACTTTATAAATGTTATATTGTGTACACGAACTATACAAATGCCAACAATCTATCAATATTTATTTGCCTATTATAATAAAATAGTAGGACAGTTTACATGTTATCAGAAGATAATGGATAGTATTGAATAATCATCATTAAAGCAACCAAAACATTAATTCATTCAAACTTGTGTGTACATTAAGCAGGATACATAAGCATACTTATTTTATACCTCAACACAAAGATTCGTATACTTATAGCGAACCAAAAATCTCTGCAGAAAAATGTTAGAACTAAATGCAGCTACTGTATTAAATTAAATGGTAATAGAAAGAAATTGACTAAGTTGGAGAAGCTACATCAGCACCAATGGACTGATTGGTGAGACAACCTCAGCACTGATACAAAATTTCTGCCTCTCAACGGCCAATTCATGTCATCTCTGGCATAGACGTAATATATGCAGGTATGGATCAAATGACATGTACCGCGCACGTATTGTTTATGTTGAGCCACCACTTACCTTATTCAGTAACGCTAACTGGCTTAGGATGGCCTAGGATCAATCCATGAAGTCTTTGACAAATGGCCTCGGCCACGTAGAATGGTGTAGACTCCTTGGTTGGATTTCTCGAGATATTAGGGACTACTGGGGATATGGCTCAAAACCGTTTTCAATAACGTAGATGCATTTACTCTTCGCAATGTCCAAGGTCCAATAGATGAAGGGGGTCTCCAAGTCAAACAGTGTCTCTCCTTGTGTTTAAAGTTAGTGCTTACAAGAAACAAATGATTATCAGAACAGAACTGTAGGAGACGGTCACCGTTGTCGGTTCGCTGGCATGGAACTCCATAGGTGCCACCGACATCCTTCTCAGATTGACACAATTTCCCTACTTGAGCGTTAAAGTCACCAGCTAGAACGACTATGTCCGAGCGTTTAGCCTTTCTCACCAAACTAGACAGCTTTTGGTAGAACTCATCCTTCGTTTCATCTGAACTGCAGTCAGTGGGGGCGTAGGCGGAGATTACGAAAAGGCATCGGCGAGTAGTGCAGTCCTTTCTCCTTCTTACTGATCCGTTCAGGCGGACAGCACACATTCGGCTATCTACCGGGATCCAGTCAAGTAATGTCTTTTCTGCCCTAGTACTCAAAGCTATCCCTACGCCAGCTAATCCTCGTGAACTAGCTGTGGCATCTCATGACACCCTCAAGGTGAATTTTGCAGATTCAACCTGTTGGCCAGGTGGGGTTAGGTGAATAACCACACTTGGGTCTTGTATGCGTGTTTCTGAAACACAGCATACATCAATGGCTCGGGATGCCAGGGTCTTGGCCAGTGATGCCTGTTGTCCTATTTGGCAAAGTGTCCTAACATTTAAAGCTCCTATATGAAATTGGTGGCGTGGCTTTAGGAGGCTGTCGGTGGTGGTTTTTTTGGCTTCCATCGTTTTTAGTGGATGCAGAGTGGAGAGGAAGTGGAGAGCTATCAAGCCGAGGAGTTGCATCAGTGGAAGGAAGGCAAGATGATAGAGATGAAGATGAAAACGAAGATGAGTGAGTAATAGAGAGGTTTCGTGTGCATTTCGGATTGTGAGGGCGATTGTTACTTCCCGGCTGCCCACACCGTGGAAGTTGGTTGCAATGTTAGCGGATATAGGGTCAGGCTGGAAAAAAGCTAGCGGCGGTCAAACAAAAACTTGGCATCAGTCAATGAAATCCACACCAGTTGGTCTAAGCCGTGTAGGAAGATGTAGACTTCCAGGCTGGGGTCCTCGGGACGGTAAAAATCTATGGTTGGAAACAATTGGTGACATGGCTCAAAACCGTTCTCAGTGGCGCAGATGCATCCACTCCTTGTGACTTATGATCTCCAATGAAACTGTTTTGTCCTTCGTTATTACTCCTCCTCTGTCTCACACCTCTGCTCACTGTTTCTATTATGCTTTTCTTGTACTTTCTTCTCTTGCTTCGCGTGCTACACGGAATGTGGCGACTTGAACTTCCGCACATTTGTGCAAAGTTCTATGTCGAAAACAGACAGACAGACAGACAGGTCCAATAGATCCTCATGTTATTTCATGTCACTACTCTCCTCCCCCTCCGCCGGAACATTTTTACCTATTATAGTACTTCCATTTTTTTTCTTACCGCTACTTTTGTGTGCTACACGGGGAGTGGCGAATTGAACTGCTGCACTTCTATATAAAGTTCTATACTGAAACTCAGTTACTCAAATCAACTGTGTTGCCTTTCTATTCTGAAGGGGATTAAAAAGTGTCGACTACGGAAACCATACATCATGATTTGTCCTACAAATTGTCTCGGCTAGAAGTACGATTGTTTTTACAGAAAACTACTTTTGAAATGAGATTACTATGCATAGGTGGCATGTTATTGGATTCAAACAGTCGCTTTGAGGCCAATCGACATAAAGTCTTTCTATTGTAGATGCAGCAAGAAAACATCAACTTGTATGATTGAATCTATCATATAAAAGTGGCTAATAGAACACACTTTGTAAGCACTAAAATAGCACATTTTCATCAAACATCCTACTTTGTGTATTTGTTTTGTCTTTCTTTGAAAATTCACCTGCCTGTTCTCTGATCCACATTAAAGATTTGAATTCATTGATTTCGAAACCTAGCTTCTTGAAGTCTATCTCGTAACTATAAATTGGATCCTCCAAGATTGGTACTTAGAGATAAATAGGTCGATAGACCAATACGCTAGTCTTGACGACAACAAGTATCATCACTTTGAGTATACGACATATAATGGGGTTAAATGGATTGATTCACCTTACCTGACCCAATTATTGTAACGTAACGAAACTATATATTTCATGCTTTAAATATCTTGTAGTAATAACATGTACAAAATCAACCGATTCAGGTCTATAATATTAGTTTAAAAATCATGACTTATTTTAATAAATAATAAAGATAGATTTTATCACAAGATATATTCCAGTACAATCGCAAAATAGTTACCTGGTTTTCCCGAAACCTGACCACCTTGGGTATGAATCCCTAATTTTATCGTGGGCAGTCAATCCTAACCAGTTTCAGAGCGGGGTGCAACATCTGCCTAGTGCTCCTTAATTTCCAAAGGCTCCCTAGCTAGTGCCAGTTTAAGATGAAACCTACTCGCACACAAGAAGACATTTTGAGCAGAAAGTATGACAGTATTTGAAATAACTTTCATTGACTTTAAAACCCTGTATGGTCACACAATTTATACGATCCGAAATATTTATTTTCAGGTCTCTCTTACAATTTTTAAATTTCACTTGAATAACATATGTGAGAATGACTTCTCAGAATCTTTGTCAGCGTCGAACTCGTTCAAGTATTCGTACTCCTTCTACTAACTACAATATAATCTCTTGATAGCATTTCACTATATACTGAGGTTTTGTTTCTGGTTGAAACATGAATTCCACAAACTATAGATAGATGAAAGTAAACTAGTGAACCAAAGGAATAAAACACCACATTATTTTGCTGATACTGTTCTTCATTCTCTATTAAAGTAAGGCTCAGAATAGTTTTCGGATGACAGGAAACCTTAAATAGCATATGTAAGTATGGTTCAGTAGAATAAAGAAACCTATTCAACGTACTCATTTAGAGGACAGAATACGGTAATATCTGCTTACTAGGTAGAACATTTGGTACTATAAAACAAACAAAAAATCTATAATCTGTGAAGTTATCATACCTTAGTCTCTTATCATAGAATCTATCTGTTACTAGCAATAGTTAAATTCCACGCCTTATATATCACACAGAAATAAACAAACATCAACATTATCAAATGGGGAGAAATACTTCTTTTAAATTAATATCAACTCCTGGTTTATTGACAATGAACTAGTTGTACAGAACTAGTTGAATAAATGAATTCCTTTGATTTTAAATATTTGTCACATTAAACGACAGACACTCTTCCTTAGATAGAAAAAAAACAACTGAGTAATAATTAGAGAAACAAATATTGATGAAGGTTAAAATCAGGTCACAACACTAACACAACAAACAGTTATTAAAATATGCAAACAGTTATAACTGATTTTGTTGTTAGGTTTTGATCGTTAGAATTTGTTTATTAAAATTCTGTACTCCAATTGATAGCGCCTTGAATTCTACGCATACTAAATGAAGTATGCATGGAAAAAGTTGATTACGAACAGAAACAGGGAATATGCATACTTCCTTAATGCCTTCACAAATTAAGCATCCAGAAGAGATTTTTCGTGTTATAAACCAAACCAAATATACGAGTGAACTATACTATCCAGTCATTGAAGCTGGAGTCGTAGAAGCAAGTTTCATATCCCAGTTCACAAATGAAAGTAAATGTACCAAATTTTCATCCTTGACTGAAATCAATCAATAAATTATCGCACTGGTTTTTGCAATATACGCTAAAGCGACTTCTGTATTCTCCAATATATGAAGCTGATTTCTAAGTAACACTTGATTAAGCTTGATCACCAACTGATGTTATTTAGATAACCACTGAAAATCAGGAAGCACTGGATAGCTGTTTCACCCCACTTGGCGACTCTTCTGAAGTACGCATGCACGACCTCACCAGCGATCGAAACTAGGATATTCGGGTTATAAGGCCAAGCTTGTCAACCATTCAGCTACTTGGAACGGGATTCAATGACCCATGAACTCTTACTTCTGTCTAATCGCGATTTTAGAGCAGCCGGCAGCCAACGTCATTGATGAGTATTTGT